ACGCCAGAACTGAAACAAATCACGTCTGAAAAGTTGCGTGTACTCATTTTTTAAAAATCATTCTACCTGTTTCTGTTGAACAGCTCACTGGAATTGTTGCACTGATTTTTGGATTATCTACAAAAAATTGTTAGACGGGAGGAAATTGAAGCCACTTCCAACCTGGGAATGAAAATGACGAGTGGAGGTCTCCGTCGTGGTGGTCCTGTCAGTACGTCAGTGTTTACACATACACCAGATAATATTCTCATTTATTTATTTTTACATTTTGATTTTAGACGAGGCCACAACCTTCATTTTGGAACAACCCCTGAAAAAGTCCTAAAACAATCAATGAAGTAATAAAGTACTTCACTGATTGTTTTAGTCCTAAAACAATCAATGAAGTAATAAAGCACTTCACTAATTGTTTTATTGATGACTTTTTCATCCAGATTTGCATCATATTCTTATGCCGTACACAGCTCCCATTAACCCTGAAAAAGATAAAGTACGAGACGATGAATGAATGTTCTCATGAAGATGACCTCTGACCTTTTTACGAAACTGAGTACCAAGGGAACTACTTGGAACAGTAACACGCAGCCCGTGACCTAGCGATGGTCAGCTGTGCTGTGTTGAGCAAGCACCAATTCCTTTGCTCCCCTGGTGGGGGTTAACGGGTTAACGGGTTAATGGGTTAATGGGTTAAATGCAAACGATGAGTTTCTGTGCATATGTGTCTGTTTATGTTCAATGGAAATAAAGACGGTTCTTCTTCTTCAACAGCAGTGAAGCAGTTTCATGTGAAATAAGTTAAATGACATGTAAAAGTCATGAATAAAGGCTAAAATGCGTTTAGCCTTCTCTACGCCATCTATAGGGAAAACTTGAGCATTGCAGGGAAAAGGCAAAAGTATTATCACAATACAAACCAATTATATAATTTGGACAAGTTTGGCGGGCCGGATTACACAGCTGAACGGGCCGCATCCGGCCCCCGAGCCTTAGTTTGCCCGTGTGTGACCTAGCTCCTTCAGGTACGCTGGTCCTCTTCAATGAATCTGTATGTGTTGGACCTGTTTATATATCCATCCTGCTATAGCTCAGTTCATTTACTTTTAAAACGGGTCCAGACTCGTCTCCAGTCATAATCTCCACTAAGCTAAAGTCCAGACTGAGATCTTCTCACTGCCCTGTTTTGGTCATAAACCGACCTGACCCAGTCTGATCAGGCTTCTATCTTACACGCTCGTACGACCTGCCCCGGCAGTGAAGCTGCCACACTGGTATTTACATTCTGTTTTTGTTTAATTTAAATCTTTATTTATGAGGCATAGTAAAAGTTTTATCTTTTAGATAACACATCAATCCACAACACAGATAGAAGCTGGCTACTGTGAGATATGCTAGGTTTGGAAATTAGATCAGCGGGTGGACTCCATAAGTGCCTTTTTCACAGTACTCCCCCCCTTTTCCACCAATCCTATCTGTGCGAGGATCTTATATTTGCTTTACTGTGACGTGTCTGCTGGTCCAATGTCCTATATAAACCCAAAAGCCAAGCTGCTCATTTAGCACAGCGCTAAACAAGCATGAGTCGTGTTACGTAAACCCTCACAGCACTGGAAGTGGATTGGTTCATATTGAACTGATCCTGAAATAACCAATTTAACCACTGACAAACCTCCAGGTTCTTGACTTCCTGTTCTGGGTGAAACTGTGGCTCAAACTGCAGTTTGTTGTCTAGTGTCCTGTCAGTTTACCATACTGTCAGTTTACCATACACGTGCGTCACAGACTGCGCTGATTCTTTTTCTATTTCTTTCTCGGTGCTCAGCTGTTGCCATGGATACGTGAAGCCATCTTCACGTCTGTCCTCCACAGAACAGGTGGGCGGAGCAAACAGTGGCTCATTAGCATTTAAAGGTGTTAAATTGTGTTGTAATTACTGAGTCCCCCATCACCGCGGGGTAGTTACTGCCTCTCCACACAGTTAATTACAGACACTGAAGTCTCTGTAAGAGTGGCTGTGAGTCCAGGAAGTACCTGGATTACACCCAAAACATTCAGTGTCCTCACAGTCGTCTGACTTCTTTAAACTTCCCTGCTTCGGAGTCAATTACTGGCTCTGAATTTTCCTTGGAATCGTGAGCGGACTTTGAGATTTACCAGTTTTTGCCACAGCAGTGGAACTGCTGTGGCAAAAGATTGAAAAAATGAAGCAATTAGCCGCTGGCAGCGGTGAAGAGCGAAGTAATTACTGGCAGAGAGTCGGACTAATGCTTTAAGAGCAAACGGAAACAAAACGCTTGTTTGCTTTCAACAGCTACTCTGTGTTTCCACATCACTTAGAATCACACTTGCACTTAAACCTGCCATTACAACAAGGTCGGGACGACAGTCTGTGAGAAAAGGAAATTACCTCTGGTAAAACAGAGGTGTCTGACGAGGACACTGTGTCTGTCTATGATGTTTGATCAAGAAAAGCCATAATAGCGAGGACGGATGGATGGATGGATGGACGGATGGACGGATGGATGGATGGATGGATAGGTGGATGGATTCTTATCAATTTTCAATGTATAATTTGAAAACTAACCATGTTATAACAACTTTATAGCAAAAGGTTGAAAGTTAGAAAAAAATCTTTATTTTACATAATATTCAACAGAAACATTACTTGAAGAGAATATATACTGTACATTAATTAAAAATTCAATTAATCTGAAGACCCTTAATTATAGTCATAGGTCCCACTGGGCAAGCAGTTAATGTTAAATACCCTGAGGGCGTTAACATTATCAAACCTGAACCCCGGGAGGGGCGGGGGGGTCCTTACGGCTTTGAAAATTCATTTTTCTGAGTATATTGTATGTCTGACTCATGTCTGCTTCACTTAGACTGGAGTAAAAACAAAAACACCAGGGACTTCCAGTGCCCATTGTAAGAGCGTTCCCAAATCACCCAGAATCCTATTCCTGGCCTTCATAACTCATTCAGCTCCGTTTCCTCACCGCTTCCTCTCATTAACCTGATTCCGAGGGGTTTAAGACGCCTTACAACGCTTTCAAATCTGGAGGGGAAAAATGGTCAGTCTTGGTAATCCTGACATTATAAATAATGAATCCCAAAAAAAGCAGCAGATGCCAGAGAGTGTGATCAGAGTGGCTGCTGGTGCAGAGACGGAGCTGCAGCTCTGGAAAAGCTGCCAACAGTCTAATATTAGTCCAGCTCAGTGCTGCCTTCACAGTCACTCACTGAGCTGGCTAAACTTAGTTCACTGCTTCCCAAGCCTCTTTCCAAGTTCTACTGCTCTGCCACTGACCTCTGGTGGGTACTGCGGTGTCTGGGGAGAACTGCTGCAGCCATCTGCACCGACGAGTGAGTAATTCTGGAGAGGAATTTGCAGAATCGCAGGAAAAATAATTCTTACCCTAAAAGGAAAGTGTAAGAAGGATCAGGAGGCAGGTTCCAGAACAAAATGTTCTTTTTACCCGTGCATTTGTAAAGAAATCTGATGGATTTTCTTAAAGAAAACAGACGCGGGGGCTTCATGTACTGAAATAAACAAAAAGTCATGTTCAGAGTGTGCACGGTGTGCTGTGCTGCCCTCGTCTGGTCCAACTGTCGGCTCTCTTCCAGGACCTTCTGGTTGGATGAAGTCACACGATCACACGAACATCCAATTCCTATCACCTCACTTCTGTTTTTTTATTATTATTATTAATTAATTGTTGATTTTAATAATTATTATTTGCAGTAAATATATATTTTTTGCGCTCCCTGTGTTTCCTTCATTCACCCCAGAGTCAGCCATTTTATTATTTCACTAAAAGTAAAAGTTTTTTTTACTACCACTTTTTTGTAAAGGCAATATTTTAAATAACATTTTTAAAATGTTATGATTATTTTATGACTTTATATTATAGCCTAACGACAGCTTTACATCGTGTGTTACGTCGTGTTTGATTGACTGAATTGACGTCAATATTCACTACGTCCGACAACCAGAAGACAAACTAAAAACTCAGCTGTTGTGCTTGAGATGTCCAAAAAACAATACGAGATTTTACCACTAGGTGGTGCCAATTCTTGAAAGTGTATATTTACCTAATAAAATATGAGTGACTTCATCCAAAGTGACAAAGGCAGTGGCAGAAACAAGAATGACACGGTTGTGTGATCATGTCAAGCGTTGACATTTGAATTCCCGCCAACAGGATGTTGGAAGTTTTCAGTTATTTTTGGAGGAGGTGCGGACAGCAGCTGTAACTTACACTGTGTGTTAATGAAACGTCTGTTTCAAACGTCAGCAGTTTAAATAGTTCGCTCAACAACACTACATTAAGTACCTAAACTGAAATCCCTCGCTTCATCAGAGGAGGGCAGTATTCAGCTCTGTAACAGATACAAGCTGTTGCATAACCTCAGCTGAAGAAAGTCACTGACTGGCACTGATCCGACTCACATATGGGATTTGTCACTCAAAAAAACAGCTCGGAATGTTGTCATAGAGTTGATGGGAAAGCTTCTTTTTTTTTCTTATCAACTCTTTTTAGCTGATGATTTCGATGTTCCAAAATGCTGACTGTAGTTCTTCTCATGGATGTTTATTTTTAATTCTGTCAAAAAAAGATAAAATAAGAAGAATAACCTAATAAAGAAGGAAGCTTAATAACTCTTTTCTCTCTCTTTGGTTTAATTCAGTTAGTAAGGCCAACATGAAATGTTTTTATATAAATGAACAACAAAAAACAAGTAAAAACAGCATTTTTAATTATTTAAATTATTTTAATAGTTAAACTGTAGTGTAAGGTAAAATGTTTATTTTTAAAAAAGTATTTTATAAATTCCAGCAGTTTTTGTCATCTCTTGTTGTGTTTTTGTTTTTTGTTTTTTTGTTCAATGTTAATTTCTCACTGTTTGCCAACAAGAATATTTTTACCTTTTTTAGTTCCTTCTTGAGAAAAAAGTGCTTTCAGTTTTTTGGTTGTTTTTTTTTAAACCTAAACAATGAGCCTTTTATTTGGCGTTTTGGCATCCATTCATTTGAATAAAAACAGTGTTTCCACAGAGAGACTCATTGTGTAACAATGATATAAAGGCAGTTGTTCTTCTTAATGACTTTGGAAACGTGATATTCTACAGGGACGATGTTTTAGTTTATTTCATCTGAACTCTGAACAAACTCAACAGATTATTTTGCATCTACACGGACGGTGAAAGAAACGTGTGTGTGTTTGTGTTTGAGCACGTCTGTCGTGGGAATAATTACTCCCCAGGAGCCTGTGGTCCAACCTGTGGTTCAGGTCCGTCTGTTGTCCCAGTAAATATATTTCCATGGGAAAACAACCCCCGTGTCCCTGAGTCTCTAATCACTCTGTGGTGAAATCATCCAGGCGGGGGTTCCTCAGCAGCGGAGCTGATCTGGGAGCACTAACCTCCATGACTCAATCACAGCACTTTTTTTGGGGCAGTTTGCTTTGACACAACAGACGGGCAGCGAAGAGGTGTGGATGGACAGATTGTGAAAAAAAGCTGAGGAAAAGAGTGAGAGAGAGGAGAAGAGAGCAGAGTCAGTCAACAGAGGGTAAAGGGCAGCACAGTTGGCTGCTGCTGTTTCTGTCTCCTAATCCTTAAATCTTCAGTAATCAGGATGAGTGTGAGAGAGAGCATGTCGCCTGACTTAGGACGGCAGGGTCTATGTTGGGACCTGGACGTCTTACTGACTGATGGAGCTTCCTAACTGGCCAGCAGGGGTGATGGAGGGAGGAGGGGCAGGAGCTGAAGATGGAGTTAGCTTAGAGAGAATTTAACCAGTTTCTCACCAAGAGCCAATAGAAAGAGAGTAAGTTAAATATACCACGATGCTTAGACCACCGAGAGCAAAACCAGGAAGAGCGAGAAAAAAGGATCAGCCGACGTTCAATCGCCAGAATGTTCAAAGGTGAGAGTTCTTATTTTTACTGTTTGAAAGGTTTCTTTTTTATATATAACAACATACAGCTGTGTTCATTTCCACTGTGTTAAATTATAATCATAAATTAGAGAACAAAGAGTTTAGAGATTTTGCAGAAAGAAGCCTGATCAGAAAGAAATGTTTTTGTACAAAAATAGAAAGAGAGTTAAAAATGAGTTTAGGCTTTTGGATTTTTGGATTAAAAATCTAGAGCTCATTTGAGTGATTAGCCAGAGCTTATCCAAATAAAACCTTTAGTGACATTGCATTAACAAATTATAAAGTGATTCTGCAAAAACATAATCTGTGTTGGTCCTAATTTACTGGTTTATTAATTTATAACTGCTCTAATCCAGTAAAAGTTTGTTGATGTAACAAAAATTAAATCCATTTTGGAAAAACTACCAGTTAGACCAGTAACAGCTTAATTATTAAACAAGGGTGAGTCAGTAAGTTCTAAGACAGATGATTTAATGTCCACAGGTCTGCCAGGTGTCCAATGGAATTTCAACAGAATTTATCAGTAAATCAGAAAGTGTGTTTTTCTTTTGTATAAATTTAATCACCAACGCATTTTTAACCAAACTTTAATTTTAAAAAAAAATCCTAAAAGTTTTTTTTATAAATAAATCTCTTTTCTTTTTTAACCAAACTTTAATTTTAAAAAACATTTCCTAAAAGTTTTTTTATAAATAAATCTTCTCTTTTCAGTGTGGAACTGTGCTGTTCAATGAACAATTGCGAACAATGTTGAGAAATCCACTCCTAGTGGACGACCATTGTACAACAGTTATCGCAGTAACACCGTCCCTCCTCCAATCTTTTGTTTCATAACAAACATGCGCTTATTAGTGATGGAAGATCAGCAGCTCTGACAGGAGAGCTAAAGGAAGATGAAGTCTTTATCTGCTTTACAGTCAAAGACCCTCTCAGGTCGGCAGAGCTGTTTAACACGCTAACTTTAGAAGCAGCCACTGTTTGGTTTTTAGTCCTGCAGCTGCACGTGTGAGGTTCAAAAAAGGAAAAAGGAACTGAGAAAAAGAATCCATCTGGTCTGTGTCTGATGTACTCAGACATCAGTCCATTCCCCAACACCTTGTGTTCACCTGATTTTCTCTTCTACCTGCAGATAGTGTGCAGCAGAGTTAAGACCCTGGTGTGATCCCAGGGGAAGTGGCAAGGGTTCCATGGCCAGTGCGGACGATGACCCCCACCTGGGGGCAGGCCCATCTGAGGACGCAGACATCCTCGGGAATGATTCTTCTGACTCGGACAGCGTGTTTTCTGACGATTCGCTGCTCCCCGACTATGAGAGGCACGAGGTTCGGACAGAGCCGGCGAAAACACTGTACCAGGCCTGTGCCAGGAACGACTCCACATCCCTGGGCAGGATACTGGAGCGAGGGGTCACCAAAGAGGAGGCCATGGAGCTGGACATCAACGCCAGGGTGAGGATGAGCTCTTTGGGAAATAATTTTAAAAATCAATGTGTTTATACAGAATTGTAATTGACAAAAAGAAGTCTTTCTACCAGAAAATTTGTAGAATTCTGGGCCCCGTCTCTCACTTTTGGTTGAATGTTTGATGTTTGCTCTGATTTTTTTTTCCTTCTGAAGGTTTGGAAAATATGTGAAAATTAAAAACACAACACAGGTCCAAAAGATAGGGATTAAACTTGTCAAAGCTGTTTTAAACACCAGAGACTCGTATCAGACACATCTGTCTAGGTATATGTTAAAAAGTGGGAACAGGGTTTATTGAAGGTCAGTGTTTTTCTTCTGTGTCCTGGTTAGACTGGACTGATGGTGGCTGTGGCCAAGGGTTCTGTGGACATTGTCACAATGCTGCACAAATGTCCATTTATTGACATCAACCACCAGGACAACGATGGCAATACTGCCCTCATGATCGCAGCCCAGGCGGGTAGGTTCAGTCAGACGTAGACAGTACATCAACTCAACCTCAGGTCTCACAGTAAGCGTTTCGTTTTTCTGTTCAGGCTTCATCACTATTCTAAACTACATCCTCAACTTCTACTCTGCTGTGGACACTGAGATCAGGGACCCCCGAGGATTCACTGCCCTCATTAAGGCCGGTCTTCAGGGCAGAGAAGAGTGTGTGTCTGCCCTGTTGATGCACGGTAGGACCTCACCACATTAGAACTTTATTTATTTATTTGTTTCTTATTTAAATTAGTGGATTATAAGATTTTCGAGCTGCTGCTAGATCATGATCTAAACCAGAGTTTCCCCAAACTTTTTTCTGGGGACCCATATTTTAAAAGTCACAAACCTTTGCGACCCAAGTCAATAGACGTTATTCGTAAAGAATCTCTTGCCAGCAAAATCTCTTGTGACCCACCTGAGGGTCGTGACCCAGTCTTTTGGAAACAATGATCTAAACACTGGTCTAAAACTCTGTCTTATCATCGTCTCCTGTTGTGACTTGCAACCTTTCCACCGTTTCTTGTGTTTTCCTCACGAACTCATGTACAGGTGCGGACGTTAACGCGATGGACCTGGTCCAAGGCCGAGGCATAAAAGACTGGGTCCTGAGGACGGGGAGGTTTGAGACTCTTAACAGACTGCGCCGCCTGCAGGCGCATCCTGTCGCTGAGCAGTTCTGTGAAAGCTACGTTCCTGAGTGGCCAGAGCTGAAGCACCTCGTGGCCAAGGCCACAGCCCCAAAAACAGCCACTCAGAAACTGCGGCAACGCATAAAGGACGGCCTTACCTTTCGCTTTCCTCAGGACCCTCAAGACAACGGGGTGATGGATCACATGGTGCGAATAACCACCGGCCTCCACAGCCCTCTGATATCCACCGCCTGCCGCCCACTCTGCCCCACCAGCCCCCCAGAGATCGGGAAGCGGCGCTTTGCCGTCCCCGAGCTGCTGGAGAAGCACAGCAGCAGAGAGTTGGAGGAGAGCAGAGTTTCTCACAGCAACGGCTCCGTCACCTCGGCTTCTCCCGTCGCTGCACCGGCCAACTCTGTTTCTCTGACCTCCTGCTGCCAGAACTCAAGCCGTAATGACAGCGTGCCGTCGAGAGGCTTCATTCCTCACAGCATGGCACACAGGAACAGCATCTTTCCCTCAGGCTGCATTCCTAAGATTGAAGTGACAAGGTCTGGGGAGCCTACTCCCAAAAAGGAGAAAAAGAAGAAAAGGGACAAGGCCTTCCTGGAGCCTCCAATCTGGAAATACAAGGAGGCCAGAGAAGAGAGGAAGAAAGAGAAGAAGGAGAAGGAAAAGAACAAGGAGAACGACAAGAAGTCCAAGGGCTCCAAAAAGAGTTCTAAAAGCAAAACATGAGGAGAATTCTGCTGTGATTATATTCAAATGTTTGACAAAATGACAGTTCAGAGAGCGGAGATTTGACAAACTGGGGCCACATTATACTTTTATTTATAAATAACAAGCTGAAAATTGTAATGTAAGTAGTCACAAGTCTTTAATTTATATAAAGCCCTAACGTTTTTCTGGTTCTGAATCTGTGGATTAGAAGATGACGTCCGACTTGGTGCCATTGTGTTCTTTATACCAAAGCAGTAGAATGTATAAATGTGTGTGTGTGGAGCTCAAGTGAAAGCGAAAGTGAACGTGATTTATTTTCATTGATGCACAGAGCGCCACCTCACATGAAATCTGAACACTGTCCTCAGCTTTTGACCCGTCATATCATGTATATATATAACACAAAGTGTGAGATAGATGAAAATATGTTTGTAAATAAACCTGGAATAAAAGTGTTGATCTTTTGTAAATGAGTGTGGTGTCAGTGTTTACACAATCAAAAACAATCATTTGAAATACAATATTTTAACATTTTATAAACCACTACATTATCATTTAAGTTCAATAATTATAAACCACTACATTATCATTTAAGTCATTTCAGTTCAATAACTCTCTGTTAAAAAGTAACATTAATCTTTAAAACTGTAAAATCCTCTTTTTGTTATGAATCTAAAATGAAACACACACATCAGATAAGATGAAAAGATAGAGCAGATTCATCCAGTGTTTTAACAATCAGTGTTATGTGTGATAGGTGCAGATTGACAGAGGTCACCAAAGGTCACCACGGGACATAGAAAATCTGTCTTTTTTTTTACATAAGTTTTCACAGAGCGAAGACATTTCTCTGGCCCTAAAATAACAAACTGTCAGCTTTGGTCCTCACTTCCTGTCCTCAGTGAAAGAGGAAGTTAGCGTCATGAGGTCAGTTCTAAATTAAAGACCTCTGTGAACTACAGTTTAACATAGGGACGTAGGTCCCATTTTAACATTTTAAAGTTTGAAAAAATGTTGATCAAACTTTAACTCTGAGAAAATTATTATCGTGAAAAAGATTTTCTTCCTGAAAACTCTTAAAGGTGTTTTCTAGGTTTGTATCTGGTAGATTAGCAGCAGCAGGAGGAGGAGGAGGAGGAGGAGGAGGAGAGAAAAAAGTGATGATTGCAGCAGGAGGAGGAGGAGGAAGAGGAGAGAAAAAAGTGCTGATTAAAAAAATGAACAACACTTTGCTCTGTTGTCATCGTGACAGCTGATGTGAGAGCTCCCAGCTGTGTGTGCAGCCTGAAGCCAAAAAACTGAGAGACTGCAGAGCCTGAGAACAAGGAGGGTAATTTATATCACAGACATGAAGACATCGCCGTCTCCGCTCGGCTCTACAGATCCAAGGACTGTCTCACAGCCGTGTTTCGTTGAGGAGCAGGTCGCTCTGTTTCATCAGTTGATCCAGTCACCAGTTAGTCCTGAAACTGATGTCGTGTCTAAGTGGAAGATCTTCCTCCAGCTTCACTTTTGCAGCTACACATTCAGTTCCTGAATACGGTCCACAGTGTTTGACCATCATCACACCGGTTCACCTGATAGGCGATGAGTCACTGTAAATTCAGGGCTTTAATGAATCTGTGTTTTTTTTTAAAAAAAGTACTACATTCAGGGCTTTAATGAATCTGTGTTTTTAAAAAAAAGGTACTGCGCTGTGGTGTGCATTAAGTATATTTCAAGTGTACGGAGTACAATTTTTTGTAACAATATTGGAAAATGAATGTCATTTAAATTATAGTCAACATATAATGAGCTTCTTTCTGTAAGGCAAGCATGGTAACCACATCTGTGTGGCCCGCCAACACATTTAAAAAAAACGAATTCCCCATTTACCACTAGAGGGAGCCAAAGTACCACCAGATGTACGGGCACCATAGTTTGAGAACCACTGCAAATTCACCCATTGTTCTTTGAAAAGTACCAGTCGGTGAACGTATGTATGACAACAACGTGGCGTTATTTTATGAACTTATGAAAATGTTTAAAGAACTGATAACAGAGAGACATGTTGTGGCAGCAGAGGGGAGTGTATTTACAGCACATTCCTGTCAGTGCAGCCCAGACTCCGGTCCACAAGGGGAAAGGGAAAATGAGAGGCTTAGCAGGCAACAGGAAAACCGCTATGAGAACACATTCCAAGCAGAGCAGAGTCTGTGCGGGACAATAAGGGGTGGGACAAATCTGTTAAGAGTTCTAATCTCGATTTTCGATCGGAGCAACAGAGATTCTTCGGGCTGACCGAACCAAGACTAGGGAGAAGCTCATCTTAATCATCCGAACCAGCGACGACGCTTCAGTGTGAGGGGTGTTTTATCAGCGGTGATTTGGAGCCAGATGAGATGAGATAGACCGGGACAGGCACTGACAAGCTGCGTTTGGTTAATTTCTTATTGTTAGGGTTTGGACTGGTTTTCTGTTTAATCGGCTGACGCTGTAGTTCTTTGAGGGAACAGAGGAAGAAGGCAGCGGGGCTGCGTCTTGCCTCAAACAGTGTGTTGTCGTTGAGAAAGGCAGAAAAGGATGTGAGCTCTCTCATGGATAAACATCTGCAGCTCTTAAGAGAGAAGGTCCTCCTGCTCCATTGACACTTGGATCAGAACCACGCTCTTCACCACAGAGACACTTCGGTCCGAGTCACGACATGGTCGACGTGAAGAGTTAAGAGAAAATCCACAGGTACAGGTGAGTTCCTCCTTTATTTGTATTTATATATTTATTTAGTTTTTTAGTTTTTCTTGTCATATTTTCATTTTGTCTTTGTGTTAACGCCAGCAAGTTAGCAGGAAGCTTCTTTTTTACGTCACTTTTTTAACACGTGTTCACTGACGTGAACCAAGATGTGTCATAAATCTGACACTAAAAGAACCGACACCTTATTCCAGGGGTGAACAAAACATTTTGGGGGTCGTCGGTCTGGGATTTATGGCTTTAAGAACGTGATATATAAAGGGAGTTTACTTAGACATTTGTGTCGTCTGTACTGTCACTACTTCAATTTAATTTATTTCATTACATTTATTTAGAGTTCCACAAAATAATTTATCTCTAACGTGTCTTACGTTTTATATTACAAAGAAGATTCTGGAAAATAAAAGAACCCTACAGATACTGTAGACAACACTGTTAGCAAAACGGCTACATCGAAGAAAAAGGCCACTGCAAATGAATCTAGTGAGGTTGCATACATTTAATCAATATTTACATATAAAACACAAAAGGCTGTATTTACCAGTTATTTGTATTGTTATATTTGTGAATAGAATATGTCAAACGTATCAAATAGTCAGCTATAAAAACGAGTCCACAGATTGGTGAGAGGTGTAGTTTTGTTAAAAGTTGTTTAAAATAAAGAAATAACCAACAGAAAAAGGATAAAGTTTGTGGAGAAACAGCTCAAAAATAGCTAAGAGAGTAGATGTTAAATTCAAAGGAGGTTCACCCAAAGAAATGCCCACTGAAAGAAGATGATTTATGCCAAAAATTCACAAACATAAAAGGTAAATGCTCAAATGTCAAAAGATGTTTTGAATTCAAATGAAATGGAAAGAGCGTTATAGTCGGGGCACGAGGGATTACATGCAGTAACTGTCGTAGTCTTGAGTCTGTCTTCACATTCAACTCGACATGTGGTGTTTTCTTGTCATTTTTTTGTCATTTATGGCTATTTTAAACCTGCTAATTATTGTTTGTTTTTTATACTACAAACTATTTTTTTCTTTTTTTTATTATCTTTTGTATTGTTAATACTTTATTGCTCCACATAAAAAAATCATCAATAGCTGTCCTTAAAAAAACATATAAAACATTCGGACCACAAAGGTAAAGGTACGACAGATGTGTGTTCTCCTGACAGGGTTCCCCCGTGACACGCTTTGAAAATGTGGTTCCACAGGCGTTCTGTTGAGTACGTTCGGTGCATGTGTGTGTTTGTATCGAGGGCCCTGTACTGACTGGTTCAGGATCAACACACGTACCATTACAGCCTGCAGATGAAAGCCCGCCCATGTTTAGTGTTGTCTGTGCGATGGAGATAAAAATCAGTCTGACGCTGAACAGAAATGATCTCAGTCTGCAAATTACCATGAAAATACACATTTTCCCACACACTGTTCCGTGACTGCTCTTCTGTCTTAACCACATGATTGAATTTTTTTTTTACAGTAACACTTTTTAAAAAGACTTTCCAGAGAGGAGACAGTGATTAAATGTCTTTGGTGCCATGTAGCCGAGTCCAATGGTCTTGTGGAGACGGTCTCCACACAGTCATGCAGATGGAATGAAAGATCTGTCTCCCGCTCTGTTGATCGGACAGATGAGATGACACTTAATCTTTTCCCCCCTTGGGCTGTGCATGTTAACAACTGGACAGAGAAGAAACAAACAGCTGCGTCTGAAGTGAGGCTGACTCGATGGGCGACGTGATTCCATCCCTCTGAGATGTCAGGGTCTGGTGGATGATGAAATGATACACAAATGAGACCCAGTTGTTCCCCTCCTCTGTGGACGGAAACTTTGTTTGTGCGGGTGGGTGTGGGTGAAGCTGTGTTTATGGTTTTCTTCCACCGGAGCCACAGATTAACCACTCTGACATGAACTGTGTGCACGTTAAAGGAAGTGCTCGCTGCTGCCTTGTGGTTTCAGCGAGGTTGTCGTCGGTTGAGCTGCAGCTCCAAAGCCCAAAGGCACAAAGAGGAAGTCTAAAAATAGAAGTAGTCGGACATTAGATTTCACATGTTGATTTGAAGTAACCTACTCTGATAGTGGTTGTACCTTTGATACGACACTGTTACAGTACAGTGCACCACGTTGGTGCAGACGCGTCTCAGACAATATGACGCTTTGCTGTGACTCAATGTATCAACATGCATTAAAACTGAATGAGGATATCCGGAGTTTTTACCAGGTGTGACTTCCTCAGTCAAATGTGAGCAGCTGAAGTTTTACTTCATGATTAAACATAAGTCGGCTTACAAGAAGCAGTAGGCCACGTGGAAGACAAATATACAATGATTCAAATTTCATTCAGATGAACCTACTCAAAGCAGGCATATGTGTACAAACAGCAGGTTTTTTACTGACATCCGTCGGTCTCCCTCCAGGCTTCGCTGTGAGCTGGATTTGACCTTCCCTAGCTTTCACTTATTTTTTTTAAAAGAGTCAATGCGGCCGTACAACTTTGGTTTTTCTAACATAGAAGTCATAGTGAAGTCACAAACCTACTACTAAATGACGCCAAACAATCTTTCTTCTGGAGCTTCTTCTAGTTCTGCGTTTGACGCTGGCTTGTAACCACACTACCTTCTGAGATACTGCCACCCTTTGTATTGTGTCACTCATCAACCTTGAGTTTTGAAGAAGCAATATTGACAAGTTGTAGGGAATAGATTTGTACCGAAATTCATTTACATGAATTTAAGTCTTAGGTTAAAAATATCTGAAAAATCAAATATGTTCAGACAAATATTTCCTTAAAACTGCACTACCAGTAATGTGGGCCTGCTTCTTATGCTAGCAGGGCTAGCTTAGCATTAACATTATACACAACCCAGAATTCGAGCAAGTCGGCATTATAAGTGTGTCAAACAATCCCGTGTGCGTGACCCTAACAATGAGCAGACCTGAGTCTGGCCCAGCAGCCGGGTGGGGCCAGTGAATGGCAGGAAGCACAGCCATCAATATTTACTCTGCAAGCAGGCAAGTGGAGGAGTCAGCAGGCCTGGAGTCTGAGTCGCACAGCGCCACACTCAGTCAACACACAAACGCAAACACTTTGCAGCGACGTCAACGTCTCCTTCCCCTCTACGGAGCGGTCAGACTGTTATTACTGACCTCACCGCTTCCTGAGACTTTAACACCTTCTTACCCTGATCAGGCTGCAGACATGTTTCAGTTACGTGACAATGGCGACATACGTTTTATAAGTTCAGCAGTTACGTGACAATGGCGACATACGTTCACTTCTTGTTATGACAGTAAATAAATGGTTATTATTAATGCAATCACATTATATGCTTTTTTATTATTATTTGAACAGAGATGAGGAGC